GCATAAGCAGAAATTTTAAGCAGGTAATTAAAATATTCTTGTTTACCAGGGCATTTTAAAGGATTGTTACTAATTTTGTTTCGAAATTCTTGAAATTTTAAAATAAGTGACCAATTTCAAATCCAAGCTAACTTTGGATTGTTTATAATTTTAGCCATATTGCCAGGGAATAAATGAATCAATATAGATTCACTAATACACATTTCTAAGAAAATAAGTCAATGAGTGAGTAAATGAATAAATAATCAATTAGGAGGATAACTATATTAATGGATATTAACCATGAAAATTAATTATTTAGATATTTAGGAGTTGAATATTTTTATTATAAAATATTGGAAAAAGCCAGGAGGATATGGCTACTACTTTCTGAAAATATCTAGTAAACTATTGATAGACCCCAGTTTGTGGAGAAAAAGCTCGACTCCTAGTGATTTCCACATCATTTTCTTAGCAACAATACAGAAATGGCTTGCCATTGCCTTCTGTTTCTCAGCTTGAGTCCTGGAATTCCCTAAGGATGGCCACTAATCAGGGCAGCATATAATAAAAAGAATTATATATGTGTAATAATGAATATCTATGTTAATAATTTTTAAAATATATGTATTTATTAAAAAGGAAATTAGATTTAAAATCCACAACAATTCTGTTCAGTCTTATCTATGGTAGCTTGTTCAGAAAAATTTAATGTAAAATGGATCTCAATAATTCAGGTCTAAAATAAATTTTCTTTCAAGCTGGAGTCAATCAGTAGTTAATAGCCTAGCTTTAAGTATAAATAAAACAAACCAACAAAAACAGTCAAGTTAGATAGCAAGTCATTGTGGCATCTAGAAATATAAAACAATGGAAGAACAAATATTCAGTTGATTGAAACAGAAATTTAAAATTTGTTAAAAGCAATAGTGGCCATATCAGCCTGAGACGCATAATCAAAGCCCAGGAACTAATATTTGTAATTCTTTTATTTTCCAAGTCTCTTAATCAACCAAGTTGTTAGAGAAGAAGTGGATGGGGAGAGAACAGAAAGGATTTGCTTTTTTCAATCTCAAATTTATGATTTTTCATATGATCTAAAAAAGTTTATTTTTCAATTATGCAGTTTGTTCTTTTAATGAGCACAAGAGAGTATTGCTGCTACTTGCCTATAAAGTACTGCTGGAAGGGTTGTAGTCTTATGTGTTCCACCTTCTTTTTTACTGGGCTTTCTCTCCTTGGGTGCTCGCAAAATTGCTGGTATATTCAGTTTCTGTGGGGTTTGATGAAATACAGAAATATTGGTGAGACAAATATATAATGAACATATCCCTGTATTTTCCAGCCAGCAGTCAAAAAACCAAGATGTCAAAACTTAGAAAAACTGTCAAGTCACAAATATGACTATGCTACGGTTTCTGTCCCCAAATTTCTTCTGAGAAATGAAACTGCATTCACATATTTTTCAGTGCAATAGAAAAAAGAAGCCAAAGACATTAAAGCCCTGGCTTTTTAACTTTTTTCCCCTTTAACAGAGAAAGCTTTAAGAGAGACAGGCAAGGACAAGCTGGTTTAGAAGGTTAAAAGGAAAAAGAAAAAAGAAAAATCCACTACACTTCACAAAAGAATACTGAAGCAGTTTATTTTCTTCAGCATCTCTGCTACAGTGGTGCTCCATAGGTTAATTAGAAAAATTATCTTATTGGACCAAACTCTCCACAAAGCGGGAGAGATTCTCTTCGGGTTTCTACTAATCTGCAGTATGCTAGCTTCACAGACAGCAACCATCTATCAAAGTCATTTCTCAGTTGCCCTGGGGGCCTGCATCTGTTCAACCAACTGGAAAAAAGTGTCATGCAAGCTGTGCAAATGAAACTACTACTTTTTATTATCATTATTAAATAATTGCACTAGGAAACACATTTGTAAATTTTAATTTATTTTTTTAAAAGGGACAAATTTCCCATTAAGAAACTTACACTTATGGTAATAGATTTCCAGTAAACCATATTAGAATAAATATACCAGCCAGCTTAGCAGAACTATATAAGCATTTAAGTGTATGTTGTTAATTCCTTAGTTAACATAACTCAAAGGTTATTTATGATACTATTCCTGGCCTGTGATCTAATTTTTTAAGACATCATTTTACCTTTTAAAATAATTTTAAAAGATTAATAATGACCTGCATAATTAAAAAAAAATCTAAGACCTTTCCATATTGAAAATCACACAACTGCATCTACTTTCCTGAGAACGCTATTAACTCATTCAATACTTTTAATTTTGTGAATGCTAAGATGAAAAGTACTAAAAAGCAACCCACAGAAAGTAGTATTTGAATATGTAACCATTTACATGAGGGAAACATAAATTCTACCATTCGGAAATAAGAGAAGTGGAAATGAGGGGTAGAACAGGCAGATAACTAGAAAAAAAAGGTTCCTTACCTCTTTAAATGTAGCTAAAAATACAATAAAATTAAATATTGGAACCATCTATTTAAAAATGTCTTACAACACAGTGAATATAAAAATGATGGGATGCTGTACTCAGCTATTACTGCTATAAAAAAAACCACTTGTGCCTTAGGATACTGTGTTTCCTTAAAAAGAAAAAGAATCTTTCCATATACATAATTAATTTAAAAATATTGTTGGTGTAGTATATTCACAAAAGAAGCTCTGGAAAACAATCTACTCCAACAAAAACTGCTTGTCTGGAAGCTTCAATTGCTTCAACTGAGTCAAAAACAAAAACAAAAGACAGCGAGGAGTACGGGTTAGATTAACTCATGCTTCAGGTTTAGCTTCATCACAAATGACAGGTCAATCAGTTATAGCAAATGAAAGAATTTTGCAAACAAGACAGCTAAAACAAAAACAAAATTAAGGTACAGGTTCCCAGTAAGGACCTTGTGGAGCCCTAGATATATTTCAATCAGAAATCATTACCTCCAGGAGAGAGGCCAGGACTTTATCAAATGTATCTTTCCAGTCACCAAAAGTGACAGTAAAAAACAGAAAAGCATATTCTTAGGAATCATGTGTCCTGAAAAACATAAAAAAAGGGGGGGAAGGGGGGGTGACCAACCTGTCCAATTATTCTTCCTAGGAGAGCCCACATTCCTTGTCCTTCATTTCGCAGTTTTGCATTCATATTCTGAAGTTCTTCTAAAGATTCACACAACTGAAAAAGTCACACAAAAAATGCAGAAATTATTTAGCATCTCTTCTCCAGGAGGAGGCATTCTTTACTTACAATACATTTTCTAACATAGGTAATTAAATAATAAAATTGTTCTTTCATGTCAATGCAAGTGAAAGCAGTAAAGTTAATCAACCATTCATAACTCTAGAAAGAAAACATGGGCATCCATCTGCTTAGTAAGAAAGAACATAAATAATTTTATCTGACAATAAGATTATAATGGCAGTAGGAAACATCACAACAGTTCCACTCTGTTATTTCCATCTGTAAAGAAATGCCAAGTATTTCTATATTGGGAGTCAAAACTTCAATGCAACAAAACTGCACACTTGAAATAAGAAAATATAAAATCACATTAAGTCTTGTAGGTTAACTTGGAGTAACATTCTCCCCTCCTGACTACTCTTTATTTTTTGACAATTCCAACAAATAGGGATATATTGACAACAGGCATGGGCATGTCAGTTTGAAAGCCGGAGTACATGGTAATCTTATCTGTGATGGTTAAATTCTATATTTAAACATATGTTTAAACAATCTTGTATTTAAACAATTATATATTTAAATTTTATATTACATACCTTCAAGACTGTACCAGAAGCTTTGAGAGTACAATGCAAATGTGTGGCTTCTGAACTGCGGGGTCATTACTGTCCCTAGAAGCTTGGGTAGCTGATGCCAACAAAGAGTTATGCAGCACTGACTCTGTGGGTCCTGGACTCCACTGTAGTTTTGTGCTTACAAATAAGGGAGAAAAATCCTCCTGAAATTACCCTGTGTTCTTTGACAGTGCCTTGTACCAATGACCCATCTCAGTGGCAGTCATTAAAATTAATCAAATATAAGTGCAAGAATCTGATATTGAGGAATGCTTCTCAATAAGTTACTGAGTTGTAGATGAAGACCACTGAAACATTGAGGCTTAACTTAAGATTTAATATTTCTGGAGGGGGGAATATTCATTGATGGGTCAGAGACTTTTGAATCTAATTTCGGTTATATTTTAAGAATTCGTAAACTACAGCATATAATTTGCACATGCTTGGAAGCACATCCTTTACCTTGTTGTATTCTACATGAAGCTTTTCCTGTTCATTCTCCAGCTTATCCTTAATTGTCTTCTGTTCTGCCATATTCTCCTGAATCTGGATCATGCGCATGTTCCTCTCTAAAATAAAAGTCAGCACCTTCCATATATATGTATTTGTATGAAATAAGAAACTGTAGTTAGAGTCAATAATAACTATAGTTGAATCCCTCATACTGCATCCTTAGATCCCACAAAAAATGAAGATTAAGATCAAGACAAAAGAATATAGCTATGCTAATATGCAGTTCCTATTTAGCAAAGCATAAGAAAATTCCATGATAAACAATCTAATTCTCATATGAATACACTGAAGTACATGAACCAAAATGCCAGTGAACTGGAGCTGATAGGCTAGCAAAGCAGTGATAATATATATTTTATATACTTCCCAAGATAGGAACCTCTCAGCTATAAAACTTGAGTTCAGTTATAAAAACACCTGTGGCAATAACCATACAAGTAGAAAACAAGTCAGAACAAATAGCACAACTTGAGAGCATATAGACAAAGGAGAAGATTCTAAGCAATTTCTAACTAATAAGTATTTTAAAAATGCCTGTTGCACTTTCCTCCTAGTACAGTGAAATACAGTCAATGATGGAAACACTATTTCATCTTAAATAGGAGCGAATGTTGGGTCCATTATTTGCTGATAAGAAGGATAATTTATGGAAAGTTCAGCTATCTATTCCTGGAGAATAGAGCAATAGACAAACAGAGCCAAAAGGTGTATCCTCAATTAAGCAGGGTCTGTTGCAGTACAGGTAGTCCTCGCTTAACAACACTAATTGGGACTGGCAACTCCATTGTTAAGCGACATGGTTGCAAGTTGAAAAACCATGTGATCACGCTGCTTAGAGATGGCAGTTCTGGCAGTCCCAGTTGCCATCATTAAGTGAGGACCATGTGGGCCATAAAACTTCACATGACTGTGACTTCTGACATCCTGCTGGCTTCCCCATTGATTTTGCTTGCCGGAAGCCAGTAGGGAAGGTCACAAATTGTGTTCACGTGGGGATGCTGCAATGGCCATATGAGGACCGGTCATAACTACCACTCATTCAGCAACACCATAAGTTCGAACAGTCACTGAATGAGTGATCATTAAATGAGGAGCACCTGTATTTTACAATCAATGCATGCATCAAAGCTGATGATTGGGGAAAGAATCCAGTCCAAACACAATTCTTTCTGAAAAAAAACTAATTTCTTTCCTTACAAAGAGAGGTCCTATTTCCTCACTTTTCTAGTAGATACAAGTATCACAGAAGGCCAGTTTGCCACATTAGTACCTTCATGGAACTAACTGACAAATTTAAAAAGAGCATATACAAAACCCTTCAAAATCATTTAAAGATCCCATATATGAACATATATATCATTCATAGTAACTAAAAGTGAAAATCCTCAGAAAAAAATTAATCTGTGGATAATAGAAGAATACTACAACTTGTCCTCAAGAGAACTCTTTACCTGAGTAAAACCTGAAAATTAGGTTGGTACAGTTACCTGACCAGTATCCTGAAATACACAGAAAATTTGGATTTGTCTATGAAATCCAACAATTTTTGGCAAATTAATTTTGAATACTAGTAGCTTTCTCTTCTTTAGAGAAGCAGCAGCTCCTACTTGACCTCTTATATTAAAATGTATTTGAAAAATATCTAAAATTAGGCCAAGAAAAGAGGTGAAAATAGCATTATTTTGCATGTACTTTACCCCTTCCATTTACATGCCATGACAGTGGGAGAAAAATGTGTAGAGATTTGTCGGCCTCAAGGAACAAAAAGTTTTGTTGAGACCAAAACCTCAAACAATTTGTATAAACTTATCTACATTATGAATTCTGAACTAAATCATCTACCAGTCCATTAGAAGAACTTTTCAAAATTCTACATATATTCAACATATTTCCAAATTTCAGCTATTTGAAGAGCAAATAAGACTATTTTTCTGTTTCCTTTAAACTCACTTATGATGAGGCAGAAGGAAGCAATTCTATAAACAAAAAACAATGTTCAACTCTCAACACATGACTCTAGAGAAAAAATCTCAAGGAAAAACATCCCAGCTACAGACAATTTTAATTTCAGCTCCACATGTCTTATAATCTTATATTATAGAGGAGAAAGGGACTTAAAATCTGCACTGAAGAAGTGGAACTCTATAGTTTTATCAGCAAACAGCTCATCCATTTCTCTTTAAATCCCAGCTACAGACAATTTTAATTTCAGCTCCACATGTCTTATAATCTTATATTATAGAGGAGAAAGGGACTTAAAATCTGCACTGAAGAAGTGGAACTCTATAGTTTTATCAGCAAACAGCTCATCCATTTCTCTTTCTGAGAGAAGCAAAAACAAAATTAATTTTGAAATCTGACTCCCTAATCAGACTGCTTACTACTTCTCTGTGGGGGCAAAGACCTGACATTGTTTCCTTCCTGGTGAAATAACAAACACAAAAAATATTGCCAAGTTTGTGTGAATAGCCTGAGGTTAGATAATCACAAATTATCTCTTTCTAAAATCAGTGGTCAACCTGAGGAAATTAGTATTGTCTTACAATTTTCATCACAGGGATAGCAGCATTATGAATGTCTTCTTAGCTGATTATTTCAATTTTCCAAATCCTAAAGAAATACTGGATTTCTTTTGACTGAAAAAAAAAATCTGACTCAAGAGATTCAACTCAGGCAAACAAAAGAACTAGCCTTTTGTAGGAGAGAACTCAATGTTAACGTACTGCCTCCATCTTCCATTTTTATTACAGTGCCATGACATTCTAAGGAACATCTTCAGTTCATTATATTGTTTTTACACTGATTTCTATGCAATCTAGACACCCAAAGTTAGATCCTCATAACCTGTGGGAACACCATGGTACAATATCCTCCAGAAACAGTTCCCCTAATTGTTATCTGTTGTTGTCTCTGCTACAGAGGAGCAGGAACATGGGAAGAAACAAACAGGTAAGAAAAAAGATGAAAATGGATACTGAGGAAAAGTGAGAGTAATTACATTATTTTTTTTCCCCACAGCTATACATGCTGAGTCCTGATTGGGTGGTTAAAATCAGTTAGGAACTTAATTTAAGAAATTAAAGAATGGAAGAAAGAATCCAATGAGAAAACACCAGAAATTGAAGGTGCGGATTTTGACCTTTAAAGCCTTATAATGGCATGGGGCCGGGCTATCTGAGGGACTGCCTCTCCCAATTACATCTGCCCATCTCACCAGAACCAGCAGAGGGCAAGCTGTGGGTCCTGTTGACTAGCGAGTTTCATCTGGCTGGTCCTAAGCAGCAGGCCTTTTCTGCTGTGGCCCCCACTTTATGGAACATCCTTCTCTCCGAAGTGAGGCTGGGCTCATCCCTTTTAGCTTTCCAGAGGTCCCTCAAGGCCTGATTGTGTGTCAGCAGGCCTGGGGACCTCAGGGGACTGGTGAAATATTGAGATGGCTCCTGTGTAACTAACACCTCCTCTTCGCCTAATCTCTTTTTTATTCTGTTTTTAGTTTTGTGGCCTTTTATAATTTTAAAGTTTTTAATATTAATAATATGAATATTAATTTGTACATTTTGTTTTTAACTTGTGGTATACTGCCCAGAGTCACTTCATTGTGAGATGGGCAGCTATATAAATATGAATAAATAAATAAAAATAAATAAATCGTAGGGTTGTCCTTTCTTTGTTTGGTACCATGATATAATGGCCACAGCAATGGTCACATGCAAAGTTGTCTCTGAGGAAGCGATTTGCCTGGGTGTAAGGGAAGGGACCTTTTCCCTGTCAATTATATGTCAACTTCAAAAGCTAGAAATAAATGGTGCAGGGACTGTATACAGTGGTACCTTGGGTCACGAACTTAATTCGTTCCGCGACTCTGGTCGCGACCCGAATTGGTCATGACTCGAATCAAATTTTCCCATAAGGTTCAATGTAAATACGGTTAATCCGTTCTGAACCATATGTATTTTTTTTTTAACCACAAAAATATGAAACAAAGTACGGCACAGTACAGTTTGAAGAGAGAGAACGCTAACCTTGCTTGAGGCGACTTCTGGTGTGGAGGACAGGAAGGCAGGTGGGGAGGCGGTTATTGTTTGGACGGAGAGTCTCCCTCCCTAC